ATTTGTTCTTAATGTCGTCACTGTCTCTTTTTATTGAAAATTCTTGTTATGATTTTTAACAAATTAAGATAATTACATGCTTTAACAAGTGAAACTTTAGGGGAATTTGAGCTTGCCCTTTTGATAATCCAACAGTGTGCACATAATCCTGCAAAGTACTTTGCAAAGGTATTCATCCAATCTTAAGTTTTTCTTTTCTTATTAATGTAATTAGGACTTCTTAGGATGCATATATATATATATATATATGGCTGTATGTAATAGTTTTAGGGACTAGACTATCATTTGAGTCTTGAACAACTGGTTTTTGAGATATTGACTTGAGATTGTGACTTCCTAATTTCTTTGTTCTTCAACAATACTTCTATGCAACGCCATTACTACATAATGTTTTATCAATTTCTCTGATTTGAATAGAATTTCTCTGGTTTGGACAAAATTTCTCTAAAACCAGAATTTCTTTGGTATGAACAGAATTTCTCTGGAACCAGAATTTCTCTAGAACCAAAATTTCTCTATGGAAGTCCAGAGAAATTCTTTGGATAAAATTTTCTCTAGTTTAATTCGAGGGACCTTAGACATTATGAAATTATTGAATGTCCTTTATGCTATAAAATCTTAATATTAGGGACCCTAAAAAAAATTCCCAATAATGTTACTCAAAATAAGTTAAAAATCAAAATTAAATTTTACCTAAATTTCTAAATTAGGCCTAAATATTTTCCAAATATGCATAAAGAATTATTAAAAATATTTTGATAACAAAACTAACACAAAATGGTAAACTTGTATATTTTCCAAAATAGTACACAAAATGGACAGGTTCATCTGAAAGCTTTTAATGGGGGGTTTTAATGGTGTACTGTGTCTGGGCGGTGCACCTACCCCTCACTTCTGTCTCATTGGCTGCCAGCATCAACTCTTAAATTAGGAAAGAGAAGCAGAGGCAATGAACCCTCAAAGCAACATTAAAAATATTAGGAGAATTGAGACGATGAGTCACATTAAAAATTAGAAGTCTACATTCTCATTTCTTAAAACACAATTTCAGTTGATTTTAGTTGTGGGTGCACTATCCCACCTTCACTATATAAATGGATTAAATGAACCACTCACTCAACTTCATTTTGTAATGTTTAATAAATTAATTTTTATCTTTTCAAATTTGATTATTTTTCCATATTTTTTGACATGTTATTACTGGATTCATAGAATGAATTTTTTTTTTTGTTCAACAGTAAAAGGTATCCAAATTAATCCCTTTCCTGATCCGATCAAAAGTAGGCTATTCATGCCAAAACTAAAAAGTTCACAATAATTTTTTTTCTTATGACCTGATCCAAGAGTTGAATTATGAACAATTATACAGAGAGTATAACCGCCAACCATTCAAGACAAACCTTGGTGTTAGAATGAATTCTATTTTGTACAAAAATTATTCTTCCTTTTACCTCAGCCATCTACATATATTCTTAAGACTTATTAGATCCATCCAAATCTATTTCGTTAATTTAAATCATTAATTTTGTAAAATTAAAAAAACAGAACATTTATATAAACAAATAAGTTGATCAAATATATACAATTATATTTATATTTTTAAAAATAAATATGATCTAATCAAATAACTATCAGTTTTGAATTGATCTGATTTTTTTATATAGATTATGTGCTTGGCAAATTCGCAAAATAAATTATTTGGCAAAATAAGTTTACAATAGACCCATCAAACCTCAACAACATCTTTTATTGGATTATCAATCGAAACCAACTGGAGAAGTTCAACTTTAATTATAATTGTTGAACTCATTACAAACATGATGACAATGATGGTCTAGTCAAAAGCAAAGAAACATGTAGATATCTCTACTAAATTATTTTATTTATTTATTTATTTATTATTAATCAATCGGTAGATTTGTAGGAATTTGTGAAGGCCCATATTATTTGGGCTACATCATACTGCAATCATCGGCGATAGACTGGTAGGTAGTAAAGGGCCTCATACTTACCCAAAGTCTCAACAAAAAAAATTACAAAATAATACTAAACAAATAAAAAAATTTATGCATAATTTTTATATAAAATAATTTCACTTATTATGAACATTTCACTTAAAAATAGAACACTACTGAAAATTAATTTATTTATAATAATGACATTACTACATTACTTTCATCAAATTTTATGTACGAATACAATTTTTCAACAGAGGTGTGATTGATAAAAAAAAATTACTAGTAGTGAGTAATTTACCCTAATTTCGGTTTGGCAAATATTTTTTAGTTTTGCTAGTGGGGCTTACTTATTTGGTTATTATTATTATTATTTATTTATTTATTTATTCATTTATTTTAGTAATACAACAAAGTGAGAGAGTAAACTGGTCAGATTTAGATCTCATTTGACAATTTGATTTTTTTTTTAGTTAAAACAATTAAGAAATCACTTAAAAAGTGAAAAAAAAAACATTTCAATAATTTATAATTTGCGATACAACTAAAAAAAATCATTCTTAAACACTAAATTTTTTCCATTTCGTAAAAAATTCAAAAAAAAAACATTAAAAAAGTAATTGCAAAGGAGGCCTTAATATATATATATATATATATTTATTGTCTTCTCAATAATTATTACAAAATTAGTTTATGCATTTTTAACTATTATTAAAAATAACTAAATAAGAATTTACCAAACAGAGAGCAATGAATGATTAATGGCCAAGGACCATAACTTAAGAAGTAGAAAAATTATTAGGTAAATACCACGTGTCTCCTACCTTACCAATCACCAAATGTTACACCTCTTATTATTTTTTCATATTCTAACACAAAATCGTACTTATTTTTTTCACCGATCATAATACTAATACTCTAGATAACACTCCTATTTAAATTTAATCATATATCAGAACCACCTAATAACTTTTTAAAAACGTAATGGTTAGGTGCCGTTTGGTAACACTACGTTTTCAGTTTTCTGTTTATATTTACAAAAATTTTAAAAATTCAAATAAAAACTTGTTTGGTAAAATTTTTGATTTATAAATCAGTGGTCTCAATTTATAAATTTGACCAATAAATAAAAACACAAAAAAAGTGTTTCCGTTTTAAGTTTTGAGTTTTTTTTTTTTTATCACCCAACACTAGCTACTACCCGCCACCATTTTCCACCACCGTCTTCCGCCGCCACCACCGCCACCACCTACCACCCACCTGCTACCACCACCTGCCACCACCACTCACCACCCACCTACCACCTACCACCACCTGCCACTACCACTCACCACCAGTCACCACCAGCCACCAGCCACCACAAGTCACCACCCACTCGCCACCACCATCTACCCCTCGCCACCACCACCACCACCACCACAAATGGACAGACCAAATGGAGCAGATGAAGGATTTTGAAGGTGCTCCAAACCTAATAATTTTCAAATCAAAATGAAGAGCAAGCCAAATGGAGAGAGATATGGGAAGAACCATAGAAGTTGAGAGGTGAGTTCAATTTATAGGCAACCTTGATGTAACATACTAGTTGGAATTTGAAAGGACAAGTTTGAATATGAATGGACCACTAATAAGGATAGTAAATGAACTACTAATAACGATATTAAATGAACAAGTTTGTAACCACTAATAAGGATATTAAATGAACCACTAATAAGGATATTAAATGAACAAGTTTCTAACCACTAATAAGGATATTAAATGAACCATTATGAAAATTTAATGGACACTAACCCTTGGTTTCGAAACACAACCAATCTGTTTTAAACCAACCCAACACCACCCAAGACTCATATACAAAGAGTAAAGGATGGAACACATCCACGGAACCGAGTCTGAAATACAATTAAACAATGAAGGGAAAACCAAGATCGCTATAAAACATAATGGCTTTAAGCACTTGAACGGAGACCCACCGTCTTTCGCCGCCACTTGCCACTACTTGCCATTTTTTACTCTTTTTTATATTTTTTAAATTTTGTAAACATTTTGTCAATTACCAAACGCGTTTGTAGTTTATATTTTTTTAAAAATAAACAAAAATTAAACAAAAATGAGTTTATAAGATTTTTATAAATATAAACTGAAAATGTAAACTTTACCAAACACGCACTTATTGATTCTTTTAAAGTGATGGAGGAAGTGTTGAGTGGAAAATGTTGCTTTAAAGTTGTCTTCTGAACCAATTAAGTTGATGGTAAGTAATAAGACTGTTAGAAACTTTATTACTCTATTTTTTTAGTAAGTAGAGGACAGACTGTTAGGTGGTTTTAAAAAAAAAAAATTAAAAAAAAAAAACTATATTAGTTTAATGAAAATGTTGAACCCGTATTTTTACATAATAAAAATAATATGTATATTTTTAATTTTTTTAAATAATTATTCACAATATTTTGAATTTAATAGTCTGTATATTTTTATACTGAAAATTCATTCAAAATAAAATAAAATAAAATAAATAATTTTAATTTTATTAATTTAAACTTTATATTTCTAATTATATTTCAATGTGACTGTTCTATCAGGAGCCATTAACATTTTGGATGGGAAAAAAGATCACATCCCTATAGTTTTACCTACCTTTCACATTTGTCTCTCTAATTTCGAGGAACGCTTTTGTATGTGAAATATTAAGTGATTGCAACATTTGCCCTATACTAAAACAAAATAAAAAATATTAGTTGGAATTATGAAAATCAAAATAAAATTTTGCTAAACCTATAAAGATCAATGGTGCCTTTCAAAAACTTAAAAAATAATTAATTAGAGAAAATCAAAATTTTGATCAAGAATAGAAAAATAAAATAAAATAAAGAAGGATATATAATTAATTCCCCTCTCATGTTGCAGGCTCACATCACTCGTAGCCATCTTATATGATCCACTCAAATTGTTGTTGTGGCTGCCTCTTGGTGTTTGTTCAGGCACGTTATTCCCAACTACCCCTTCTTTTGGTCACATATATATAGACACACCTTACCAATAATTTTATTTCAAGCTCAAATATCTACTACTCCTCTTCCTAGCTAGCACATACCACACTAGCATCAGCCACCACCCTAAACATTTTTCTGGCAAAAAATGGTCACTGTCGAGGATGTTTGGAGGGCACAACGGGCCCGAGGCCCGGCGACAGTTTTGGCGATTGGAACGGCAACCCCACCAAACTGCGTTGATCAGAGTACGTACCCGGATTACTACTTTCGGATTACTAATAGCGAGCATAAGGTGGAGTTGAAAGAAAAGTTCAAGCGCATGTGTAAGAAATTTTTTATCTATATGCTTTTGGTCAATTTTTATTTTTCATGCTGATTATTAGAGTTGTACATAACAGCACATGATGTTAATTTGATTATGTGCATGAAAAGGATTTAGAAAGTTCATAATGGTGTCTTACATCATTGCTTGGTCTGTAATTGAATGGTGATTTTAATTTAACAGAAGATCTAGGAGTTAATTAAAAATGTTGTAAATCAAGTTCCTATGGTTTATTTTTAATCACTTAAATCTAACAACATTATCAAGAAATAAAAGAGAATACAAGTAAAAAAATCACAAATTTACAATCCAAATATTTTTCCTCTGTTAATTTTTTTTTGATATTTTGTGATGTCTATTTTACAGGCGACAAATCAATGATTAAAAAACGTTACATGTACTTAACAGAGGAAATTTTGAAAGAAAATCCTCTAGTGTGCGAGTACATGGCACCTTCGCTTGATGCTAGGCAGGACATGGTTGTGGTTGAAGTGCCAAAGCTAGGAAAAGAGGCTGCAACTAAGGCAATCAAAGAATGGGGTCAACCAAAATCCAAAATTACCCATTTGGTCTTTTGCACCACCAGTGGTGTGGACATGCCCGGTGCCGACTACCAGCTCACCAAGCTCCTCGGCCTTCGCCCATCAGTCAAGCGACTCATGATGTATCAACAAGGTTGCTTTGCTGGTGGCACGGTTCTTCGCTTAGCCAAGGATTTGGCCGAGAACAACAAAGGTGCCCGCGTTTTAGTCGTGTGCTCTGAGATCACTGCGGTCACCTTCCGTGGGCCTAGTGATACCCATCTCGATAGCCTCGTAGGCCAATCCCTATTTGGTGATGGAGCAGCCGCCATTATTATTGGGTCAGACCCAATTCCAGAGGTTGAGAAACCACTGTTTGAGTTGGTTTCAGCGGCCCAAACCATTCTCCCTAGTAGTGACGGTGCCATCGACGGACACCTCCGTGAAGTGGGCCTTACATTTCATCTCCTCAAGGATGTTCCAAGGCTCATCTCTATGAACGTTGAAAAGAGCCTGGTGGAAGCATTCCAGCCTTTGGGCATTTCTGATTGGAATTCCCTTTTTTGGATTGCACACCCTGGTGGGCCTGCTATTTTGGACCAGGTAGAGTTAAAATTGGGCCTTAAGGAAGAGAAGCTACGGGCCACAAGGCACGTGCTAAGCGAGTATGGTAACATGTCAAGCGCGTGCGTGCTATTCATACTAGATGAGATGAGGAAGAAATCAGCTGAAGAAGGGCTCAAGACCACTGGCGAAGGGCTTGAGTGGGGTGTGCTATTTGGGTTCGGACCTGGGCTCACCGTTGAGACTGTGGTGCTCCACAGTTTGTGCACTTAAAACTTAAAAGGGCTACTTAAAGTATAAGCATTGTTTCTTGTTTTTCTTTTAATTTGTGGTTGTGGTGTTGAATGGCTTTGTTTGGTCATACTCTGTTTGCATTTTAAAGTAAGAAATGCGAATGAAAGTAATGTAGTGACTTTTAAAAGAAATAAAATGTTCTTTATCAAAGAATTTTGGGTGTTGGTAATATTTTTGTTTTCTCTTTTTGATTTTGTTTTTTTTTTAATATCCTTTTTAGTAATTTGCATCAATGTTTTGAAAAACAAACCGGTAAGCGAACTGGAAAAAGAACCGGTTAAGGAAAAATCCAATTTTACCCCTTTGTGGTTTGTCCCCGTAGCATTTTAACCAATGTTTTGAAACCCGGACAAAAGGGACCGGGTGGACGGGTCACCGGTTCAACCGTCGGGTCAAAGCGGTCGAACCGTGACGAATAATTAATATTATATAATTAAAAAATATAATTATAAATTATAAACAAATAAAAATATATATAAATACTCAAATAAAAATAAAAATTGTTACATAGTATTTATTAATAATATTTAATAAAGTTATAATTGATAAGAAAAAGTCACTTGTTTTAAATAAATTAAATTTTTTTAATATTCCCTCCAAACAAATTGATTGAACGCTAGATTTAATTTTGGAAGGAAATGAAATTTTCAACTCTCTCTCCAATCAATAGGATTCAAATAATTTGATTGAATTCCATATAGAATTTTGTAGGTTCTCTTTCAAAAATCTTTTCTTATAAATAGCAATAGATTTTTATAATTTCTTCAAGCTTCAATGGGATTCCTTCTCCTGAGAGGAGACTCTTGAAATAAGATTTTTTAGTCAAAATTTTGAAATATATATAAGAAAGAAAGAAAAGAAAAAAAATAAACTGGTTGAATTGGCGGTTCTACCAGTTCTGATAATCTAGGCCGGTTTTCAGCATTGTTCGGTTTTAAGGGTTCTTCCGGACCTGAACTAGGCTCGGGTTTCGGTTCAACCGGCCCGACCGGCTGGTACAGTCCGGGTTTTAAATCATTGATCTGCATTTGTGTTTTTGATTCTTCTAAATTCAAAGATGATGAATTGGGTTGACAAAATCAAATGATATATAATAATAGTTTCTGGTTTGAGTGATTGTGAATTCTTTCTTGAAATCTTTAGTTTTCTTTATTATACAATTGACTTCTGTGATGGAAGAAAGAGGGAAAAAAAAATAAAATGAAATAGAGAGGCGGAGAGTCGGCTAACGTTTTAGAGAAAGAAATAGAGAATTAATCCATTTAAGGACAATTTTGTCTTGTGTTTGTATATAAAAGATTCTTGTACTAAAAATGGGCAGACTTTTCCCCAGAAAATATATGTGTATAGTTAAGATTGAATTCATGCATTCTGAATTTGGATTATATATTTATAATTTTGAGTAAAATTTTAAATCAAAATTCTGAATTTGTCTTGAAGCAACCATTCAATTTGTGGCAGTAACACTAGGACAAAAATAAAATAGAAAATGAAAGGAGTTGACTCACATGATTTGACTAGAGGATATTGTTTGAATTTGTAGAGTTCGTTATAAATCACGCTTTAATGATTCAAATCGTTTATTTATTAGGTCCTTTGTGTATATACTCTATAAAATAAAAAGAAATACGTCGATCTCATAATCGTAATTTTTCAAATTGAATAGCTTACAATTACTAAATAGACTAAATTTTTGTGTGTAAATAATAAGGTATTACAAAATAAACGATTCAAATTATTAAAATAAAACTCGTGGTGGGTTTCCCAAGTCTAGACAACACCCTCCCATCTAGGTCATGGACCAAAATGAAAAAAATACATTTCAATTGGATGATGGAAAAATAATTTTGTTTTTATAGTGGTACAAGTTATTAATGTATTACTATATGGTATAATTTATTTATTTATTTTTTTATATTTGGTGTAATTTTTTTTATGTGTCAGACTTACACAAATAAAAATTCTTACATGTTCTACAATTATTTCAATCTGTCCCACTTACTAATAAATTTTCCAAAAAAACAAAAAATGTCATTTACATTTTCGTTGTTTGTGGGTCAGTGATAGATCCTCTCAAACACCTCACATTCAAAATGGTTGATTTATATTAGAGAGGGTCTACAAATTTTATAAAAAATAATTAAACATTTGTAAATATTTCTCATCCAATGGTAAGATTTATTCATACTATAAGTTCACAATAATTTTTTTAAATATACATTATTGATTTGATAGTGTAGTCGCTTTCTGATTTTGTTTTTCTATTAAGGGCCTATACATAATTTTGTTACAAGCCCACATATCTACTAGTACTTAGGCCTTATTTGTCATCTCTTAAAACATTCAGAAAGTCAAAAAATCACTATCCTATTTAAGTCACATCACATCTGTATCACATCACTTCAAACTCAACCCATATTTTATAAAAAGTCAAAAAGTACACTTATTTAGAACATCTCAAACAACCCCTTAGTAGTCCTTGCTAGCACATAACATACCACATAAGCTCCGGCCACCATCCTACATTTTTTGCTAGCAAAATGGTCACCATTCACGACATCCAGAGGGCAGTGGGCTGAGGGCACAGCGACAGGTATGGCGATGGAACCGTGACTCCACCAAGCTACATTGATCAGAGCATGTACCCTGATTACTACTATCGGATCAGGAACAGTGAGCATAAGACCAAGCTCACACAAAAGTTCAAGCGCATTTATTTATTTTATTTGCAGGTCCTAAATCATCTCTTGGTCTGTAATTGAATGGTGTATAATTTTAGAGAAGATCTAGAAAGGAATTAATTGATTAAAGATGTTCTAAATCATGCAGCTCATGCATGTTCTTCCAAATATAACCTTGTATATGTCAATACTTTACTGTATATTAACTCATTTTATGGGATTTTTTTGGAATTTCTTTTTACATTCCTAGGGACAAATAATTACACTAGGACTCTAAAAATGTCACAAATAATCTACAGTTGAGACAATTGCCAACTAACAGTCCAATGATTGGTTTTCTATGTTAATTTTCCATTATAACAGATGACAAATCTATGATTAAGAAGTGTTACACATGGCACCTTCACTTGATGTTAGGCAGGACATGGCTGTGGTTGAAGTAACAAAGCTAGGAAAAGAGGCTGCAACTAAGAAAATGGAAGAATGGGGTCAACCAAAGTCCAAAATTACCCACTTGGTCTTTTGCACCACCAGTGTTGTTGACATGCCCAGTGCTGACTACCAGCTCACACTATTAAAAAAAATACTTTTTGCGACCGCTACAAGCCGTCGCAAACAATAAAAAAACAGTCGCAAAAGACTTTTTGCGACAGCCTATGCGACGGCAAATGAGGGTCGCAAATGTGGGGGTAACAAATACTTTTTGCGACTGCAAAATAACAGTCGCAAACTATTTGCAACCACCTAACATACTTATAGCGACAAATATTTTGCCATCGTTAAAGAGTTTAAAAAATGCCTACAATGTATTAGTGACCATCTTCTTTCTGTCGCCAAAAAAAAAAAAAAAAACCTACAATCATATATATATATAGGTATATATTCAAATATTATATACAATAAATGTAAAGACATTTGCAAAAATCTCAACATTCATGCATTATTTTTCATTTCTTCCTTTAATAAAATCTCAACATTCATGCATTAACACTTCTTCTACACTTTCCTCGAAACTATCACAAACCTCAAAATATACTTTCCATTAAACCAAAGAACTAAACAATAAAAAAGAATTGAAAGTGAATTAAATACACATCCATGCTTCCTAAGTCCACACAATATTCTTTTCTTTTTTTAACCTAAATGGTGTAAAAAAAAAAAAACCGAACTGCTCTACTCTTACTTGCGTGTCTTCTTCTTTTCCATGTAACACATAACAGCACTGCTCCTACTAGTTGGGAATGAACTTTTAGGACACAATGGAGGCGGCTCTCCCTGAGAACCATTCGAGAAGCACCAGCCTTAATGATCTGCAGCACTACTCTCCACGCTAAGACCAGAAAATGAGATGCTGGAATGGGCATGCGTTGCAAAGCAAAGATTTGGATCAGTTTTAGAGCTTATCACGGAATCAGCAGATGCCGGATTGCTGATAGCTGGCCTGCATTGACTTAACTAGTCCAATTGATGACCTCTGGGGAACAAGCAACATTTGATGATAAGTGCATTTTAAATCAGATGTAAACTCACAAATAACAAGGGGTTCAATAGTACTTCAATGAGAGAAAGCATAAGCGTTTATTAGAAACCTCCAGCAGAAATATTTGATGACATACATGCAAGTGTGAAATGTTTGCTAGAACGTGATTAACAGGTGTTGAAAGGAGAGGAGATGTGTTTACGTTAGTTTGGCAAGCAATAATCATGTCAGAAATTCAAGAAGCATGGCTATGATTAAAAACATGTCATATAACATTCCAAAGAAAAGGCCCAACGCTCAAAGCTCAAAGCCAATGAGTAACGTTGAGAGGGCAAATAATGATGGTACTGTTTGGCTGACTAGAATGATTAAGATTGTCCAGGACCAAGAAAATATATGAAGAATGGAAGAGCAAAATCTTCACAACTATGCTATAAAACAAAGGTGTTGCAAGAAACTATCACTAGATCATATGCAAAAGTCCTACTATGAGAATTCAGAAGAGAATGATAAACTAAGAGCAAGGTATGCAACCATGGAACTATAAAAGCAATTGGGTTACACCAACAAGGTGATCATATTGTCTACTTGGGTAATTGACACAGGAGCTTAAGAGAAATCGGAAAAGCCCTTGCTTGACATGTATGCTAAATGAAATCACCAAATTAACATCTGATTGCCATAATATAGGAACCCTTTTAGAAAGAGAGACAGTTTGGCTCAGGCCCAATAAACAAAACACAAACAATTTGTCTATATATATACATGGCTTTGATGACTCTGTTTAATATGCTCAAAGAGACCGACATTATGCATTCCATCTAAAAACTTCTTTTCATCCCAAATTTATCCTACAAGGAATTTAAATATATCTGGCATATCTAAGTTTACTAAATATATCTGCATGTTTAAATACATCGATGATTTCAAAGATGAAACAAGATTTAAAACACAAAACAGAAATGATGTCATGTACACCTACCCTATGA